ACATCACTGCAAGGGGGAAAATAGGCTATATAATTGAAGAATCAAATAACCACCCTCTGGGAATGCTGAATATGATAGATGGGCTCAGGAGAACAGTATGGTTATGTCGTGGCTCTTGATCTCCATGCAACCACAAATAAGAAAAAACTTCATGTGGGCTGAAACTGCAAATGAGATCTGGGAACAAGCAAAATCTACTTATTAAGAATTGCGACACTATGCCAAAATTTATCAACTGCAGGAAGCATCATCCGCTTGTAGACAAGGGGAGAGGTCTTTATCTGCATATTACTCTGACTTGACCTCTGTCTGGAAAGAGTTGGACCATTACCAGAGTGTGGATTGGAAGTGTGATGAGGATGCAAAAATGTACAAGCAACTTGTCCCACAACAAAGGGTGTTTGCCTTCTTACATGGTCTGAATCCTATGTATGAATCTATCAGAGTTCAGATTCTCAACTCTAAGGATCTCCCATCAGTTCAAGAAGTCTATGCCCTTGTACAATCTGAAGAGAACATAAGAAATTTGATGAACAATCCTGGTGGGGATACAATTGTGTTGGTAGCAAAAGGGGGTGCTTCTACTAGTGTGGGATCTTCTTCTAGGAAAGGAGATCTCCAGAAAAAAAACAGAAGATAAGGATAAATTGTGGTGCACTCATTGCCAGAAATCCCGACACACCAAAGATACTTGTTGGGATCTTCATGGGAAACCAAAATGGGCTCAAGATTTGACTAAGAAGCAAGGTTCAGAGGTGAATAAGAGGCCCGGACAGCAAGGTACAAAGAAACATCACATGGCCAACATGGTTACTCGGGAGAATCAGCCCTCCACTTCTACTGTGACTCGGACACATCTCACTAGATCTGACCCGAGGGAGGATATTATAAATTCCTTCCGTGACCATTTAGAGCTCTATGGTAGAGCACTTCGTTAGATGAATACTCCTTGTAGAGAACACTGATGTGGGCCCCACAACTACGGTCCCACCGTGTTCGTAGGGTAG